ACGACACGATACAGTGGAAACCCCCACTTACAATGTAGTTCAATGTTTTAATGAGCAGTAACCTACTTAAACAATTCAGGACAAGATTTGCATAACTTCGGTAATATTCATGAAAAGATGAAACGAAAGATTGCTCTAGATGCGTTTCGCGAAATTGATTATCAATATCAAAAGCACTCTGTACTGAGACTTTTGCCGAGATGGTAGTCTTTTCGGCCACGTACATAAATTCAAAGCCTTTATCTGCGTCCTACGTTTTTAGCATTTATACTGAGCTAATTATTTTCAGCATTTTTGGAACAAAACCCCTACTGGTCATAAGCCTTTCTTCAAATTCAGATCGACAGAAATAAGATGACTTAGAAAGTCAATTTTTAAAATATTCGTTGCCAAACCATACCCATATTTGTAAGGGCGGCTATGATTTGAGTCGTCTCTGGAGGTAGAACTAGCGTGATCGCCCTTATGCCTGTCATGGCGTCGATGCCTCTGCTGAGTCCAAGACTTCGGTTTCATTGACTTTTTACCATTTTTTAATGCACATCTCTTTGCGTGCCCGCAGTTCTTTGGAAGACTCCGAATACGAAAATGACCACAGCCCTGCCTAGGCCAGTTGCTCCCGCATGCTGATTCAGCAGTACTTGTTGTGGTAGAGGAGGAGTTAATCTCGAATGCCCCATTCTTATCGACATCAGACTTATACGAAGACCCCTTTTTAAGCTTACAATGGATAAAGACCCGAGTACTTACATTTGCCATAAACTAGAAAAACATACAGTTCATTTTAATAGCGAATTTGCAGAGTTCATAAGCTAATCGCGAAAAAGATGGATCGCATAGGCTCTAGGGTAGAGTATTTGTACTTGTACATAAGTAATCAATTTTTTGAAAAAACATTTTAACCGAATTCAATGAAGTATGTATTACTTCACTCAAAACCACTATTGACCTATGTGGTAAATGCAATATATAAAATACTGCACAACGAACCTATTTAAGTTACACTAACCGATTGGTATGGTTGAGCGGGCTCGTGCTAATCTTTATTATTAAAACTATAATGCAGACATTTCATGAATACCTCACGCCGCAAGTCCCGGTATTTCTCCACAAGGGTTCGGATTTGATCCTTCCTGAAAGGAGTAACGTCATTTACTTGGAAACTCCTACAGTCATTCCTCAATGATAATGCAGTTTCAACAGTCAACCCTTCAGGTTTACTAAACGATTTTAGAATAATTCAAAGGTGTCAAGACGTTATCGAGGGTTTGATTTAATTAATGGAAAGTGAATTAAGTTACATTTACTGCAAAATGGTATAAAGAGCTAAAAGACAAATAGTTACAAACAAGTGGTTTTATGATAAGGTTATTGCCCTTTTATGCAAAAGAAACTTCTATTAGTGATAAATCTAAAGCATATGAGTCTAAGAAACCGAAGTTTTGCAAATTCCGTACAATTCACTCGATGCGCGCTGGATGCTAATTCACCAAAGAGGTGAAAAATTCTGTTTACATAAGTAGCTTTACCCAACTCATAGTCTTTCTAGCCTCTTCAAACGCTACGGATACTTCCATAAAAGATATAGCAAAAGCCTGAAGCCATACAGCAGACATAGAAAACAGCATGTTTTAGCCAAATCAGCTAAAGGAAATCCTCAGTTAAGGAATAGAGCACTCTAGCTACCAGCTGCTAGGTGGTTAATTCGCTTTAAATAACTATATAAATAACTGTGTACATCACCAAAGCTGACTCTCAAGTGGTGATCTAGACAACCCGGCACCTAAGTAAAGTTGTAAACCTAGCTAGAAGGCATGAATTCACCTCGAGACCAAACAGGACCTAAGGCCAGTTGTAGATAGCAAGGAGGAAGGCCCTTGCTTAGATGATGACACCTCCGTTCTCTTGCTTCTGAGTAAGTCTCGCTCCATTAAAGCACCCCTATTAGCTTCAAGATCTTCATTTTCATTGATATAGCTGTCATAATTTGTATGAAAATGTTCCCTTTCAGCTATATTCTCTTCGACCGCGGGAAAATCGGAGGTCATAAAACCGCTTCCTTTAAGTAGTCCCCCGACTTTATTCTCTGCATTGGTCTCCCCTTCTCTCCCCACTTTTTCTCCATTTTTTGCTTGATGAGCTCTTAATTCTTCTTTCCTACTTTCTGCTTCATTTTTATCCGGATTTGAGACGTGCGTGCTTGGGCAAAAATGAAAAAAACTTAAATTGCAACCAGCACTGCACCCAAAAACACGTAAAAGGACAACTATGAGGTCGGGAGACTAAACCACTCACATTTCTGATGCCCAAGTCACTGTGTTTTTGTGGAGTGCGCGGGAAGCAAGTGATAACTCATTTTTAAGATCTCGAGTTGCCTAAAGAAGCATTAGCCAGGGACTGCTAAACGAATTTCAAAGTCCTCACCTCTTCCGCTGTCGTCTGATTAAGCAAACCTTTTGAGCTTTGCGAATTGAGGTCAACGTTGCTAAAATTGAAATAAAAGAATTGTACCATTTCTGTAATGTATAATTGCTCTGATGCATACGCATGTGGTGGCGATCAGGATTTACACAAACCTTGTATTTGAAAAGGTTCCATAAATAACCACGGGGCAAACCCTAAACATTCATGCTAAAACTATTAGTCTCCAACAAATTTTCCTAATTAGGGGCTATGGTGCGGAGGATAGCGACGAAATAAACTATTTTGCCACTGACGGCGTCGGCCAACTTCCCTCCTCCTACAGCGGACTCAGGCTTAGACAAATAGTTCCGGCACACAAGAACGATCGAGGATGTACTCTTAGTAGCAGAGAACACCAATAACTCTGATATACACTTGGCCAGGATATTTTATACCGCCGTAAATATTGGGGTAACCTCGTGTGTTAGCTGGAAAAAATGGTGCAACCAATAGTTGCAACTAAGCATCTTGAAGGAAGAGTAGATGATGACCACAAAATGAAAATAATAATAAGGACTGAGTGGAAAATCCTTAAGAGCTGACAATGCACACTTTCTGTCAATTGGTGGTGGTAAAGAGTAGAGAGACAGATGAAAACCCAAGCATTATGGTCGACGTCAGGTCAAGCGCAACTCCATTTAAAGGAGACCTTCCGTAACGTGCCTGCATAATGGTTAAGTTTCAGTTCTTTCAAAAGCGGTCACCTCCGAACTATAAGAATAGTTAGACGCCACGTCTTAGGCTCTTCCACTATCTTTGCGAAAAGAGCTAGGGTTGGTTCAGTGCCTAGCAGGCTTCAATCAGCAGAAGGGCAAAGATAGTGAAAGTTAAAAGATGGTTACAATAAGCAGAAATACTTTAGAGCATTCCTTCTCTACTCATTAGATCAGTACAGCTACGGTGAAGTTCATGTCATCGATGAAATTGATGATGACCATAGCATATTACGCTACAGAAAATTTGTTGGAATCCTTGCTTAAGCCAGAAGCAACGAGGTGTTAAACTGAGGAACGAGTAACTGTAAATCTGTATCAGTCCGAAAAATATTAACATGTGTTTCGCAACTTTTGCTAGAAGCAACCCACTTAATGTGCGAGACGCCGAAAGTCTGAGCCATTAGACCCTTCTAATCCTCAAAGTCCGCGGTATTTGCTTAAGTCGGGAATGGAGACAGAAGTCACAATCTTTGACTATAACAGAAAGTCATTGGACATGGTTGGGAAACATGTAAGTGATAGGCTTTTCGGTAGCATATTATGACAAAGGATTTAAGCAGCACAAGTTTGTTGAAAAGGCTATAGATGGATTACCTTTGCCGTTGGGCAATCGCAAGGTATTTATATCGATACTAGTCCATTTTATGAGACGTTTTCTCCATCCTCTTAAAACCCAACAGCAAAAGTGGACTTGCTGTCTGGCACGTGAGTGAGAGGCGTGGGAAAGAGGATCCTAAAGAGTAAGGTTAATCTTAGTGATAACGGAAGTAGCTTCTAACTCGCCAAGATGCAAATAGGGTATGAGGACAAATACAAGATATTAGCTATCTGCCTGGTGGATTTAAAAGATTTCATTCCACATCGGTTGCATACCTAAGTCTATGCCCTTAAGGTTCCTGGTGTGGAGGATAGACACGGTATTGAGTCTTTCACTGGACAGCTATATGAAACCGGTAAGTGCTCTTAATAGAGGAAGTTTTCGCGATTGTAGCTGGGACATGAGCCTTAGAAATTTAAGGCACTGATTCCTTTAACGGTGGGTTATTTGTTACGATATTCTCGAGGCTGCATAAGGATGTTATGGCACTAACTTTGCAAATCTTCCAACGTCTTAACAATAAGCACAAAACTTAGGCACCTACAAAGTCACGAAAATGTCAAAGGAACAACTCTCTAAGATTTGCACCAAAGATGATGTTCTCTGCGTAACGGTGTGCATCTCAATTTCTCACAGCGTCAACTGATGTCATCTTACAAAAGTGAAAACATCAACGCACAAGGCTTTGGATTATGCGTGCGACTAAGAGGAGGGATGGAACAAATGTTTAAATATAAGCCATCGCACACCAAACAAGGGACACTTCATCAAGGACAACCGAAAATAACCAAAAAGGAGACTTAGTACAGCTTTACAGACTTCTCCAATATTAGGCTAAGCTCGCACTTTTGGAGCCAAAATTCATATTGGGTAATAAAGGTTGTCTAATAAACAAATTTGGCGGAGGGAGACGCACAGTGATTGTAGTGAAATGGGTTTTATGAAGGCATACCGTGAGTTGGGCGGAAAGATGAGATCTGCAAGCTAACTTAAGGATACCTACGAGTAAAGAGACTGAGACCCGGGGAAACGCTCATGGTGATACGTACAACGACAAGGCATCCATGAATGTACAGTATTGACAACAAGCAGGCAGAATGCTTCACACTCGCGATTAAACAGACACCGTTGAACTTCATTAAACTTTGGTAGATTTATAGACCTCCCATTCATAACGTAGCGGATGGATTTGCAGTTAAAGCCCATGGACACGCAATAAAGTACATGAACAGTCACACAAGAATTACCCTTGGAGGATAAAAACCTCCGTTTTTGAGCATGCTGGAGAACGATCCTGTTCTGGCCTTTGATTGGATGCTTCTCCGAAATAATAAAAAGAATCGCTAGGTTTTTCGGAATTCGAGGGCATATCCATTTCCAGCAATTGTTGCATAGACTAAAAAGATGACGGCGGTATTCAAGCTGTAAATAATTTTTAATCACTGTAATCTATACGACAGATAATAGGAAATTGGGTTAATGTATACCCTTTTCTGGGATTTTTTTTGCACTGAGGCCCAACTTAAATAAATTGAATTTCTATCTTCATCGCAATTCCATACCGACGGATGGCCTTCTGGTATAAGTGTACTTGAACAGGTAGATTCGTGGTCATCGAGTTCGGTACAAATCTCGGTTTGTGGAATCGCTTTTTTTTTCCTTGGATTTACCGACCGTTCTGACAAAATTGAATTGGAACTTGGATTTTGTTCATTAGATGTTCTGGTAGAAATGAAATTTACCAGTTGGCGGTAATTCGTTGTGCCCTTTATAACGTGTAGTTGGATTGGTTCATCGTGGTTGGGGATTTTCGGGATGATTTTAATATCTATAATAGGAGTGTCAGTTTTGGCAACTTGCTCCTCCAATGCGCATCTAGGAAGAGGATTCACATGTTCTCCGTCGATTTTATTCATCAAATGGCTGGTTTTTCGCAAGTTTCTTAGAGTTTTTGGCAAAGTGGAAGCAATGCTCGAAGGAGC